GTTGGATCTGTCATATCACGGCCATCACTATCAAAGATACAGATTTTTAATGTATCTTGTTTATTTTGAGTCTTAAATTAATCTTTATTAGTGTTATCATTGATCTGATACATCACTGCTACAATAACCTTTGTTTTATGCAGTGTATAATGCTCATATTTAAGGTATTGATACATAACTCTAATGTTGTTGAATTTTTTATTAGTGTTTATCATGTTCAATATAAATGTACTTGATACATAAACTTTGTGTTATTTATCACAAACACAAAAAAGAAGCTATTTTGGAACAATTACATGTATAATGTATTTTTTTAATTTTAAAATATAGTATTTTTCAAACAAAATAAGATACATAAATAATAATAATGTATCTTACACTAATTTTTTAGTTATAATACGTAAATTCAAATTTATACTAAATGTATCTGATACATAACAATTACCAAACAATAATATATCGATCTCAAACTTAAAATCTTATGGGCAACACTTTCTTATTTAATGTATCTAGTAGAAATACAACACTTATCAATTTAAATTGAAAGGATCTTCATGATCTCAAACAAAATAAGATACATAAATAATAATGTATCATGCACTATTTTTTTAGTTATGATACGTAAATTCGTATTTATACTAAATGTATCTGATACATAACAATTACCAAATAATAATGTATCGATCTCAAACCTAAAATCTTATGGGCAACACTTTCTTATTTAATGTATCTAGTAGAAATACAACACTTACCAATTTAAATTGATAGGATCTTCATGATGTATCTTCTCAAAATTTTCGATAATTTTGAATCAAAATTGAAAGAATCTTCAATGAACTAGGAGAATAATTTTGAAACTCAAAATTTTCAACAATTTTGAATCCAAACGGAAAGGATCTTCAATGAACTGGAGAAGAATTTTGAATCTCAAAAATTTCGACAATCTTGAATCAAAATCGAAAGGATATTCTTTTTTTAAAAAATAAATTACCCAGTCTTATCTCTAGGCAGTGTTGTATTAAGCAAAAAGATACAGAGAGGGGGCTGGGCCTGACCTCAAATACAACACATTTTGTGGTGATCACATCACTATTGATAAGCCAGAAGAGGCTGAAACTAGCCAAGCTTTTGGCAAAATTACCACCTAGCTAACAAAAAGCTGGCCTTGTCAAATTTGGATCGAATACAAGGCATTTGTCACTTATCAAGTTGAAAGGGGCCTTTAGATGTTCTGTGCAAATCAAAATAGGAATATACAACTTGATTTTGGTCGGTGGTCGAGGCTAGTTTGGCCAAACTATCAGCTACTTGATTGCACTCCCGATAGCAGTGCTTCACTTCAAAGTTTGTCGCATTCTTGATCTTTAGCATCTTATCGACGATGTTCATCGGAAGGATATTCGATAAACTTGAAGATTCATAAAAGAAATCGTTTGTCCAATAACAATTTCATCACTTTTGTATCCTTCATAACTCATCTCGCTTATCCAAAATTTCGACAAAAGTTTTTATGAAACAAAGAGAATGATGAACAAGAAGACTAAATTTAATTTTTGAAATTTTAGATTTGTTACACTATAGGATTTTGAATTCTTGACAATAATTTGGAATGAAATAACGTAATTTATGGAATCTTAATTTGATTTTCAGTTTTTTTTCCCCCTTAATTAGTGCAACAAATGGATATTATGAGATCTTAATTTGATTTTTCAGCTTTTTTTTTCCTTAATAAGTGCAACAGATTTGATACATAATGTATCCGGATCCTTAATTATGTATCCAAAATGCTTTAAAAAAATATGGGATTTATGCAATTACAAAAATAATAGGGATAAAAGGTAATTTAGGTTTTACACTATGGTATTTATGTAAGTTATACTTAAATATATACTAGTAAATGGGTCCGCACTTCGCGCGGTTAGATTATCTTTCTCTAAAATTTATTAGAATAGAACTTTTCTTATATTTTGATGTTATAGTATTTTTATATAAATCTATTTTCAAGAGTATAGAGGTTATTCAATTGTAGTTTACCATTTATTTTATTAAAAGAAAGGACAAAATTACAAATCATACCACTATTTTCTCCTAGTTTACATAATTTCATTTTACAGATTCATTAATTTGCTTTTGAAATTTTACAATGGTTAGTTTAGTTTTATCATCTATATGCATGATTACATAGTGTCTTTGATTAGAGAGACACATAAATATTTTTCACAACTGTCATCTTTGCAAATTTCGTCAGTATATATATATAACTAATGGGTTTATCAAGAGCAAAGGTTCCATAATCATATGATATACCAATAAGTAATATGTAGTCATTATGTGTTTTAAAATTAAAATGCAATCTCCCGAAATCCAAATTTCATATGTAATATAGTTATGATGTTGTTTGGGAATTGAAGTTGTTCACGAACAAAACATTAAGGATCCTTGAAAAGGGTGAAAGAGAAATAAGAGATAATGGGAAAAAAGTTAAAAAGAGTACTTTGGTGCGAGAGAATAGTTATTATTGTGTATCATACAATTGTAATTAATTGCTAGTTTTAGTTCTATCATTTGACTTTCTATTTTTTTTTACTCCTGTTAATATTAACATTATTATGACAACAACAAAAAATCATATAAATTTTTAGGCTTGATCTCTTGGAGAAGAAAAGATTTTTTTGGAGAATGTTGTAAAGAAATGTATGTACTTAAAAACAATAATTAATATCATAAGCATAAATTAATGACTGTAAAAAAAAACATACCAGGATCTGTAACAATAGAATGAAACAGAAAGGAAAAATCGAGCTCTTTGAATGCATAGTATTTCCTTAAGGAAATCATTCCCCTCTAGTACCCGAGGTTTAAAGAAATAGATCCTCTCAGTATGAAACGATTTTATTCACCAGTGTAATGATACAAAAACAATAGTGTCAGTAAGCCACTCAACATGAGCAAAGTACACAAATATTTAATTGTGCAGAAGAAGAAGAAGAAGAAGAAGTTCATAATCAAATATTTAATTGTGCAAAAGAAGAAGTTCAGAATTTTTGTTGTTTTAAAATGAGAGGGAACCCCATCCATTTATAGACAACAAATGGTAGTGTGAACAAATGCTTATTGTGCCTTACCGGAAAGGTCACAACTCTATTGAGAAGTCACAACTTTTCGAAAAGGTCATAACCTTTCATAAAAGTTACAACATTTCATAAAAGTCACAACTTTTAATAAAAGTCTCAACTCTTCATAAAAGTAAAAACTTTTCATAAAAATCACAACTTTTAGTAACAGTCATAATTTTTCATGAAAGACGAGACTAATTTTGGAAATAAATAAATTAAAAAGGAATTCTTGTTTGTGGTGGCGCCACATAAGTGAGCCTAGGATTCTCTTTTATATATATATGATATGATACTTACCGTCTAATAAATTATGGAGAATATATTTACTATTAATTTTATTAATAAATATATATTTATTTTTAATATAATAAGTAAGTAAAAGTGAAGGACGAAAATGCTAACAAATAGATAAGAAGAAATTTGAATTATTTCTTTTAAAACAAATAAAAATAGAGGGTGTATCATGTATGAGATGAAATTCGAGCTTAGCAATTGGATTAATTGAAATTTAATACGTGAAAGTGTTGGCTTGATCAAAATTGTACCTAAGATGGTGTTTTTGATCATAGTCCTAGAATATTTTCGAATCGCTATTTACAATATGTCTTGGATCAGTATTGTTTCGATATCATAAGATCTATTCTATGATTATAGTATCATTTTCACATGATTTTTTCTGTGATCACAATTTATTTCCCAATTGGAATGCACTAACAACAATTCCTGAACCGACACTAATCATTTTCAAGCCTAGCGCTAAAGCTAGTCGTAGCTTGATACTATTAAACAATTTTTTTAAGATAAGTAAGTAATTTTTTCATATTATATCAAAAACTTATATCAAAGACGTAAGTAAGTCGTCTCGTAAAAAAGAAATACATCTCATATTTACGTGTAAAACAACACCATTAACGATCTTCTATTTATTCTTGCTTGTTATTTTTATACTTAAAGTCTAAATTTAATCTTGCTCTCCTCATAATTTTCTTTTACTAAAATAAAAACATATACAGATATACGAAACAAAAAGTCCATGACTTTTTGCATGTCTATACAAAAACGACGCCGTAACGACACGTGTCTCTTCAGCGATTCTTCAAACTCTTAACAAGCAGTCCTTTATACCTTCACACTTATATTTTTTTCTGGAAATCTCTCTCTCGAGGAGAAATCAATGCTCAGAGGTAAAACTTTTTCATATTATTCATCTTCCCTGCATGTGTTCAATTTGATTTTAAATTATTATCGATTCATGTGATTACAGTTTTTTTTTTTAAAAAAATTGATTTTTATTTGTGTAATTATGTGTTCTATATTGAATTAGCTGCTGATTCATGTGCTTATAGCGTTTTTTTTTGTATGTTTTTTATGATGTATGTGTATAATTATGTGTTTTATGTTGAAATTGCTGCCGATTCATGTGCTTACGTAACGTTTGTTTGATTTTTAATTTTTTTTCCTGATGTATGTGTATAATTTATGTGTTCTATATTGAAATAACTACTGATTCATGTGATTACATCGGTTTTTTTTTATGTATGTGTGAAATTATGTGTTCTATGTTGAAATAGCTGTTGATTTATGTGCTTACGGCGTTTTTTGAATATGTATTTGTTTTCTATTTGTTAGGATTTCTGCAATGTCGGTGTATTTGGATCAAAATGTGTGAAATTATGTGTTCTATGTTGAAATAGCTGTTGATTCATGTGCTTACATCGTTTTTTGAATATGTATGTGTTTTCTATTTGTTAGGATTTCTGCAATGTCGGTGAATTCGGATCAAAATGTGTGAAACTATGTGTTCTATGTTGAAATAGCTGTTGAGTCATGTGCTTACAGCGTTTTTTATTATTATTATGTATGTGGTTTATATGTGTTAGGATTTCTGCAATGTCGGTGAATTCGGATCAAAACTTCAGAGTTGTTAGTGTTGATGATCAATCAGGAAATGAAACCCTAATGGAAAATCGAAATAATCTGGATTTAGTTTGTGAATCGGTTATTGATGATGGGGTTAGGGTTTTTGGAGAAGGTAATGATGTTGTTAAGGGTTTAAGAGTGCAAATGGAAGGTTTAGGTGTGGAGATTGATTTGGGTCCATGTGATCTCGAAGGTGAAATGGCCTTTGCAGGGTATAGTCGGCTTGATGGTGAGCTTGTGGTTGATTTGATGGGATTTTCACATCTTGCACGAAGGGGGAATGTAGTAGAAGGAGCCGATGACATGCAAGATGTATCAGGTGGGACAAATGGATCTGTTCCTGATGGTAGAACAGTCAACATTAATGATGGTATAGATGTTGGGCCTGATGCTATCGTTCCAGAAAGACGAGGGGTTAAGCACCGAATGGAAGAGGAAGGGAAGTTTTACGTGTCCGATTTAGTATGGGGTAAGGTGAGGAGTCATCCTTGGTGGCCTGGGCAGATATTGGACCCTTCTGCTGCATCAAACAGCGCAATGAAATACTTTAAAAAGAATTGCTATCTTATAGCTTACTTTGGTGACCAGACATTTGCATGGAATGAAGCATCTAGCATTAAGCCATTTAAGATGTACTTCTCTCGAATGGAGAAACAGAGCAACTCAGAACACTTTTCTCATGCAGTGAACTGTGCTCTAGATGAAGTCTCTAGACGGGTTGAGTTGGGGCTCGCCTGCCCATGTTTGCCGGAGGAAGCCCGAGCAAAAATGGAATCTCAGATTGTTGCAGAGGCTGGTATCCAGGCGGAATCAAACATGAGAATTGGAGGTGACAACTTTTCAGATCAAACCCCATTTAACCCTGCCGAACTTGTGAGAACACTCAAGTCAGTAGCAGCAGCTCCACATTCCCGGCTTGACAGATTGTCGTTTGTGTTGGCAAAAGCTCAATTGGCGGCCTTTAATCGCTGGAATGGTTATAATGAGCACCCAGTAATAGAAGAATTTAGCGGTTTGTTTGAGAATGATAATGATGTTGAACCACTGCTTGGGAAGAGTGATGTGGCGTCGGAGGAAAATTCTAATGTCCAAGGTACTTCCTCAACAAAGCGTCCTCGTTGCTCGGGGATTGCTGAGCACCCTGGTAAAAAAGTAAAATCAATGTCCGTGTTGGTGTATGGGAGCAGTTCACGTAAATCAAATGATCAGAAGAATTCTAGAGGAATAGCTGGGCGAGAGAGGAAGTCTGTGTCTTCTGAGAAGAGACATTTAGCATTTGAATATATGCCTAGCAATTCAAAGGCAAAAAGAAGGAAAAAAGAATTGTCACCAAGCAGTGGTAACAAGATGTCTTTACCTCATAAAGCTGCAAGGCGAAATCTCAAGTCTATTGACAGAAACTCCCGAAGAACGAGCGAGCATAATGAGAACTTGAGAAATATTGAATTTGGAGATTCAGTTCTTGGTCTCGTGAAATCTGAAGGAGAACAGTTGAGTCCAAAAGAATTCCCTTCTCCAACAGAAATGCTCTCAAAGCTCTATTCGGCAGCCAGGGATCCCATGAATGCGAGTCGTATTTTGCTGTCACAAGCTAGTTTGTTCTGTGATTATAGGAATTTAACTTGCTCGGAAACTACCGTGTCAGCAGACCTCTCAAAGCCGACAGAAAAGCATATAGGACAAAATTCATCCAACTCAGCATCTGCTGAAACTTTGTCGATAGAAGGTATTGAGGACTCATATTGGACTGATAGGATTATTGAATGCAACCCCGAAGATCAGGTGTTATTTGAACCAGAGGTCCAAAACGAGGTGGATTTTCCTAATGCTAAATGGGAGACTTCTCCTGGCCTGAGTCCGATCTTGGACCATAAACAAGAAGTAGGCCCGTTGGTTGAGAATTCAGAAAGAGAAAATCTATCTGATCTTGTGGATGGAAGTTCCGAATACTCCCCAACCACGCTGATTCTTAAGTTTTCAGATTTAGAATCAGTTCCTCCCATAGCAGATCTAAACATAATATTTAGTCAGTATGGTCCACTTTGTGAATCTGAGACCAAGCTTATTCACAAGAGAAAACAAGTAAAAGTTGTTTTCAAGAGGCGTGCCGATGCTGAAACTGCTTTTAGCAAGTCAGGGAAATTCAGTATTTTTGGTCCATCACTCATCAGTTACCGCCTACAGTATTCACCATCACCACGCAAAGCATCTTGTACCTCAAAACGTAAAAGGAAGTATGCAGCATCAGTAGCAGTGAAGGGCGTTCAAAACTGAAGTAAGATGAATTCTTCATTACCTAATTTGCTGGATTTTCCCCGTCGGATTAAATAGTTAACTTGTTAGCTATGTTAATATGAATTTTGTTGCACATAGCTGAAATTAACTGCTGACTGTTTTGTCTACTTAGAAATGTTTTAGATAGTAGAAAAATAGACTGGGAAATATCCCATTTATTTGTGTTCAACTAAGAATTTTGTGTCTATATATTCGTTTACCCGGAAATATAAAATATTTTGGCATCTAGTCATTACAGTATACTTGATGAATTGGTGTTTACAGTTCGAATTTCTTCATATTAATAAAGGTAAGATGCACTTACAATTGATTGTCCTCTGTTGGTTGTTACTTGCTTTTGTAGTAAAGGGTGTGATACTATTGAATTACTTGGTCTTTGCTACTGAAAATCTAAGTTGCTGGGACTCGTTCACTTTTGATGTTGCATCTCTGTCAGATTCTTCAAAAATACACTATTTTTGGAGAAGCTGACATGCATCCGTGAGATATGTAATTTCTTAATGTGGTGTCTTAGAATATGCATATATCTTATCTATGACTTGCTATTATCTCATTTGGCCAGATTATATTTAAGAGATGAGGGAATTTTAATAATTTTCACAAACTATTAAGTTTTCATGTTCATGGGGGGAAATTACAACTAAAAGAAATACATATTGCTTTTCAAAATATCAACTTTAAATTAACTTAATTTCTAATTATGATAAAATTATTAATTTAAAACCAAGCTATTAAGCTTTCTTCTTCACCTTCTTTGATCTTTTCCTTTCAGCCATTAATGGCTTCTTCTTCTCTTCCTTCTTTCTTCTTCCTTATGCTTTCGTTGTTTACCTTCTTCTTCTTTCATGTTCAAAGCTCAAATCTTAAAATCAATATACTGTAAACGTGAATCGGTTTGAAATATTCGGTTTGAGTGAATAATATTTTGAAAGATTTGAAATATTGAGAGGAGATAATATCTAAAATTGGTTTACATTTATTTGCTTGGTTACATATTTACCCAACACATTTGTATATATTTGTTTGCATTGTTATTTACCCAACATATATATATATATATATATATATATATTAATGTTGTTGCAAAAATAAAGCATTTTAACTATCACTTACCTTTAGGGATATGAATCGGTAGTTCGATTTTATGTATTGTCGATTTGATTTATTAGTTTTCAATTTTTAAATATGTTAAATCAATAAACAAACTAATAAGTTATTTTTATCGATTTTTGGTCTTTAACGATTTGATTTTCGGTTTAACCAATAAGAAAATGCTCATAAAACAATATATGACTTCTCCAACTTGGCGCAACATGGCAATAATGTAACTTTACGCCATGCTCATAAAATGAAAATGAAAACAATAGTAACTAACATGAAAATAACTATAGTAATATAACACAAATAAAAGAATTAGGATAATAATGTGAATTGAAAGCTTTAGCCTATACGCAAATGTAGTAACTAGTATCCTATAATTCTTTTTATAAAACCATTAAAACAATAATTCAATAAGACCAATAAAAATATTGGAAAAACTACAAGATATAGCAAACATCAATATATATTCTCTTATTATATAAGAGGGAGTTTATAATGGGACATTGTGATGTCCAATCATAAACTCCCTATATAATATATAATATAATAAATCATTTTTTCTACTATATAATATATATTTATTTTTCTACTATAAGGGAGTTTATAAAATATATAATAATATAATATAATAAATCATTTACAAATGACTTAAAATATTTCATATTTAAAGGATATATAATAAAATAGGTTCACTCTCAAAATTCTATCCGAGTCACATATATTGGGACAGAAAAAATAACATATATCATTTTAAAATTACCAAAAAAGTATTTATAATAATAATAATTAACAACTTAAAATATCTTAAAAGACATTTTAAAAGGGTTAATTTTGTAATTGTAATTCTACTATTATATAAGAGGGAGTTTATCATGGGACGTTCTATGTGTCCCATCATAAACTCCCTATATAATATATAATATAATAAATCATTTTTTCTACTATATAATATATATAATATATATTTATTTTTCTACTATATAATAAAAGGGAGTTTATATAATATATAATATCATAATAAAACCCCAGTAGAAATAAATATAATATATATATATATATATATAATATAATAAATCATTTACAACTGACTTAAAATATTTAATATTTAAAAGATATATAATAAAATAGGTTGACTCTCAAAATTCTATCCGGGTCACATATATTGGGACAGAAAAAATAACATATATCATTTTAAAATTACCAAAAAAGTATTATAAATAATAATAATTAACAACTTAAAATATCTGAAAGACATTTTAAAAGGGTTAATTTTGTAAGTTTATTCATATCACATAAATTAGGACAAAGTGACCAGCAATGTAAGTTATTTGAAAGTTACATAAAAATATTATAAATCACAATAATTAATAACTTAGAACATTTTTTTTTAAATGCAAATTTCGATGACTCTTCAAATTTTATTTGTGTGACATAAATTGAGACAACAAAAATAACATATATTGCGTCCATTTTAATTTATTTGTCTTAATTTTTTTTTTATATTTAAAAATTGCGTAAAAATACTATAAATCATGATAATTGACAACATAAAATATTTCAAAAATAAATACATATAAAAAAATTTGATTAATTCTTGAAATTAATCTATCGTTAAAAATTATGTATAAAATACAATAAATCGTGATTTTGACCACTTAAAATATTTATTAAAAAAACAGAAAAAATTAATTGACTAATTGTTAAAATTAATCTATCAATGTCACATAAAATGAGACAAAAGTAGTAATATGTATTGTTTAATGTGAAATTATTGAAAACTACGTAAAATGTATTATAAATGTTAACAATTAACAACATTTGATTGAATCTTGAAATTTTATCAATGCTACATACATTGAGACAAGTGGAGTAATATATATTAAGTATTTAAAAATTACGTACAACCATATTGCTTTCTGTAGGCTTCGAATTATCGTGGTCATTTTTTAGGCTGATACAAGTTTTGTACTTTTTTTTTAAATATTATAAATCGCAATAATTAATAATTTAAAATATTTTTAAAAATATATTTAAAATTTAGTTGGTTTCGGGAATTTTATTTATACTATATAAAATGGGACAAAGGAAGCAACATATATCATTTACAAATGACTTAAAAAGCATTAAAAATTACAATAATTACCAATTTAAAATATTTAAAAGCTATATAATAAAATAAGTTCACTCTCAGAATTCTTTCAGGCTCACATATATTAGGACAGAAAAAATAACACATATCATTTTAAAATTACCAAAAAAGTATTATAAATAATAATAATTAACAACTTAAAATATCTGAAAGACATTTTAAAAGAGTTAATTTTGTAATTTTATCCATATCACATAAATTATGACAAATTGACCAGTAATGTTGGTTATTTGAAAGTTACATCAAAATATTATAAATCACAATAATTAATAACTTAAAACATTTTTTAAAAAAAAATTAAAATTTGGATGACTCTCCAAATTTTATTTGTGTGACATAAATTGAGACAACAAAAATAACATATATTGGGTCCATTTTAATTTATTTGTCTTATTTTTTTTTGGGTTTTTTATATTTAAAAAATGCGTAAAAATATTATAAATCATGATAATTGACAACATAAAATATGTTTTGAAAAAAAATACAAAAAATTCCACTCATTCTTTAAGTGAATCTATTGTAAAAATACTATAAATCATGATAATTGACAACATAAAATATTTCAAAAATGTTGTATGTGGATAGTCTTATTGTGCCTTGAATAACGTCAAATAAAGTACAAGTTTGTGATAAAAAAACTTATTCCTTTATCCACGCAAACAATCGCTTCAAAATCTCCGTTATTAGCCCCAAAACATACTATTTATATTATTGGGCCCGTGCCCGTGCATAGCACGGACAACATTACCTAGTTTAAGATAAATAGCTATAATTTACTTATTTTATATTATATGGATATAATTAAATATTAAATAGCAAAGTTAATCAATTACACATGAATAATCATTTCTTTCCAATTTTATATGTATATTAACAAATATTAAATAGCAGAGTAATTAGTACATGCCTAATCAATTATGTAAGGCATGTTTTACGGTGTGGTTTCCATGTTTACCCTTTTCAATGTTTTCTCTTTCCATATTCATATATCATCGACTTTTTTTTGATTTTTTTTTCAAAAATCCTTCCGATTCACTATCCTTTTGCATGATTGCAGGAGTAATTTTTGTGATTCATCTTCATTAAGTATATTCTAATTGCATTTTTTCTTATTTTTAATGAAGATTATATTGGTATATATCTATATGTTTCATCTATTTTCATAGGGTTTCGATTGAAGATTTTTTCCATTACAATGGCGGAAATCAATTTGAGATAAAAAATATTTGTGTGTTTGTGCCATTCAATTTCTACAGTTTCAATTAGAATTAACCAAAAGGAACTCCAAAACTTTTTACTCTAATGGCAGATCAGAAGAGGCTAACAAGAGGTATCTCTAATGACAGACCAAACAAAGCACCATATTTTGCGTTGTATTTGTATTCATTGTATTTTGAATCAAAACACTATACTTGTTCTGAATTTGTATTCATATGTATTTTGTATTCAAATATAATTATATATATAGATGTATTTAAATACAGAGACAAATGAATTTAAATGTTTGTAATCATATATATATATATATATATTCATAAATGTATTCATTTGTATTTATATTCTAATGTAAGTACTAAATACATTATAAATGAAAGCAAATTAATAGTAGTTATATAATTGTATTTCTCTGTATTTGTATTCAAATATAAGTATCAAACCATTTAAATTAAAGTCGATCGATAGTTATAAATTTAAATTCATTTGTATCTGTATTCAAATACAGATTTCAAATACAATATAAATAAAGTTATTTACATGTTATATTATTGTATTCATGTGTGTTTGTATTCAGGTACAAGTATAGAATACAATATAACAGAAGATTAGTTAATTGTTACATAATTGTATTCATATGTATTTGTATATGTATACTATT